ATTGATAAAAACTCCAAGTGGAGAAATACAAATCACATATTGTCAAGATACCAGGAAAGTTTTATCCTCAGCATTATATAAACAATTTTTCAACATCCAAGAAAACAGCATTCAAATAAACACAGCTATAGAAAAAGATGACAACATAAATGGATACACATCCTTTCTCAAAAAACTGGTTAATAGTTAGCTGTTTTAAATTTAAAAAAAATATGTAAAAGCCTTGGAAGAGTATGAAATGTTTAGAATAGTGTTTAACAGCTTTAATATATACTATTTTTATGTTGAAAGTTCCTATTATTACCTTATTATTCATGTTTTCTCTTAACATACTTATAACAGCTATCTTGGTACTTGCATGCTAATTCCATTATTTCTGTCATTTTTGGTTTTATTTTTCATTAATTGATGTTTTTTTCTCATGTTTATGATTTATACATTCTTGCTTCTTCGCATGTACTTTCTGAATGGGCGCTAGACAGACATGAAAGACATCACGTTGTTGAGGGTCTGTATTGTGTCCTTCCAGCAGGCAGTTAATTTAGCTGTGAATCAGCAAGATCCTCTCAGGGCTTCTTTGTAAGCTTTGCTAGAATCCATCCAGCAGAGCCTTTATCCTAGGACTGTAAATCACCGTGCTGCTAAGGTGTAACCTTTTGGGGTCTCTATTGACTGTCCAGAGTATTAAATAAGGTCTTGCCAATATGACTGGGTAGAATTAAGATGGCCCCAAGCACTGTGTGAGCTCTGGCCATGGTTCAGCTCACAGCTTCTCTGTAGTTCTTTCCTGTGTAGATTTTCTTCACTTGGCCTTGTGAAGTGCCCTGCATACATGCAACTTAGTATTCAACAAATAATCAAGAAAACCTCTGTTTACATTTCCTGAGCTATTCCTCTTGTTTTCTTCTCTTCATGAGCATGACCTAGAAATTCTACCTACATCAGTGCTCCTGAACTCCCACCCATGCCTCTTCAGTTGAGGGAAACTGCTGGGATATGGCTGGACTCCACCTGTGCCAGTCCAGGAAGGGCCTTCAACCCCAAAGTCAAGGCAATCATGGGGCTCATGTCACGTTCCCTATCTACAGAATCACAGTTTGTACCACCTTTTGTCTTAAATTCAAATTCATATCTAAGTCCAGATTTTTAGCTATTCACATTGGGAAAGATATTCTATTAATAGTAAATTATCACGACTTTTTAAAATTATTTTTCAGAAGTTCCAAGCAATTTTATTTTTAAAATATATTTTATTGATTTATTTTTTTACAGAGAGGAAGGGAGAGGAATAGAGAATTATAAACATCGAAGAGAGAGAAACATCGGTCAGCTGCCTCCTGCACACCCCCTACTGGGGATGTGCCGGCAACCAAGGCACATACCCTTGACCGGAATAGAACCTGGGACCCTTCAGTCTGCAGACCGATGCTCTATCCACTGAGCCAAACCAGTCAGGGCTTATTTTTTAATTATAATTAGATATTTTTATATACTTTCTCAAAAATGTTAATACTCAAATTTGGGATACAAATCGCTAATAAGATTGAATGCAGTTAATTCAGTAAAGTCAACTGAAATATATACATGAGTCGGTTTTAGAAAATGGCTAAGTTTTATATCAGAGGTCAAACTGCATAACAATAACCTAAATGACCAACAATAGACTAAATCAAGGAACATAAATAGCATAGAATACTACTGAGACACTAAAAAATCACATTTTCTAGTGAGAAAGCAGAATACAAAACTACGTATTATATGATACAGATGTTTTAGAGGAGAAAACTAAGATATAAAGAAAACAAATATGAAGTATGATTTTAATATTTATATTTTTATTTATAGACTAGAGGCCCAGTGCATGGATTCATGTACCTGTAGGGTCCCTCGGTCTGGGTGTGCCCTCTCACAATCCAGGACCCTTTGGGGGATGTCAGACTACTGGTTTCAGCCTGATCCCTGCAGGCCAGACCTCACCCTCTTGTATGCATGTAAGATCTTTGTCTAATTTATTCCCACCCTCCCCCTTTCCCTCTTCCCTCTGAGATTCATCAGTCTGTTCCATGTTTCCATGCCTGTGCATTGAGCATCCACCCCCCTGGTGGTCAGTGAGGATCATAGCTATCAGTCGAACGATCAAATGGTTGCTTAGGCTTTTATATAGAGAGATTTTCTGCAAAACGACATTACATATAAAGCATATTATTTATATCTGACAAAAATTTTAAATCATTTTAATCTGACATTTATAATGGCAATCTAACAAATATATTAAAGTAAAACTTGTCTTCTATTCTTGTTTGTAAATCTGCCTTTCCTATTCCACTTTACTTTTCTGAGTCCCTGTTCTCTTTCTATGATTTCATGATTGCCATATAGTAATATTTCCCAAATTTCAATGTATGCCCCTCTCCCTTCTCTTGTTTTCAATTTACTATTTATATCTGCCTACATTTAGATTATTTCATTGTTTCCTCAACTTAATATATACAAACTCAACTTATGCCATTTACAAACAAGCATTCCTTCCCAGTTACCTAATCCTTCTCAATGGTAACATTTTCCTTCTCTTAGTTTTACAATTCTCTTTCACCTTAAATCTTTCCTTGCGTCCTTTGGATAACACCTTTTATATCCAGTGATTATTTCTATTGCCGCTTCAGGAAGATGTATTGCACTGAGAGTCCCAAACAAATGGCCTCCCTGTATTCACTCCCTACTCTGACTCCATCTCTTACCAGCATGCTACTGAATCTCTGAGCCTTATATATGATGGACACCTTGAACTAGAGTGAAAAACTGTAAAACTGCATTTTCTATACTTCGTTGCTGCTAGGATTCTGTATATGCTGTTGGTTCAGAAACAAATGCAGTCACAAAAACTTTGTAGTTGAAACTGAATCACAGAGTGAGACAGGTACAGGGCATACGTTTGGCGGTTGTACATTGTGGCTGGACTGTTTTCTGGACTCTGACTATAACAGCAGCTTCTTAATTCAGCAGGTAGTGTCCTGGTCATAATAGCAAAGACAGCAATCCCTTTGGTAGCTAAATTCTGCTGGGTGGTTATGAGAGTCATTCATGAAATAAGGCATGTGGTCTCTTTAGCCCTTCCAACAATTTAATAGCTATTCCTGCATCCTTTTAAGCATAAATTGTCTGGAGTGAATTTTATTGTCTACTATTAAGAATAACAACTAACCTGGCTGGTTTAGCTCAGTGGTTGTGTCGATCTATGAACCAAAAGGTCAGGGTTCAATTCCAGTCAGGGCACATGCCCAGGTTGCGAGCTCAGTCCCCAGTAGGGGGTGTGCATGAGGTAGCCCATTGATGTTTCTATCTCCCCCTCTCCCTTCTTCTCTGAAATCAATTAAAAAAAATTTTTTAAAAGAATGCCAACTAAGAGTTTCCTCATCTTTAAATAACAATTCTAACATCTTGAAGGGTTATTAGAAGAATTGATAGGGACAATTCAGGTAAAGCGTATAAATAGCAGAAACGTAGTTATTGTTCTTGTCTTATTCTTAGCACCATAACAATTGGAGGGCCAGGGTATGAGTTATATCTTTAGCATATGTTCTTTCTGCAATCTTGGTCAAGTTACTTAACTGCTCTAAAATTTCATTTCATTATTATGTAGGTAAAAAATGCAACTACTTCATGAAGTTTTGTGAAAATTAAATGAGTATATAACTAAATATTTTTTTCTATATTTTGTTATTCTCCACACAAATAATCTCACTTGATGAGCTAATTTCCCACATTACTTCCTGTTTTTAAATGCCATGACCTTACCTGTCTTCTCAGAATCCTGGGCACACATTTTTTAAAAACATGCAACGTCTGTACATTCTGTTATTACCTCTTATTCAACTTAAAGCCATTTTTCAAGTACTTCCCTTTTCATGAAGTCTTTGCAGGGACTTGCAACCTGCCTTGATCACTTCTTTGATCTTGGAGCTCCTACAAACAGCACTAGGCATTTTGACACTTTGCTTTTTTTCTAATTAGTAAAATGTGCCTTATTTCTTTCTGAAATTGACCTTTAAGTCCTTGAGATCAGTAGCAATTACATTAAAAAATTACCTGACAGAGTTCTTAAGAGAGTTTACCATTTAGTAGTCACTTGAACAAACTGCTGACTAGATGATTTGCCATGTCATTCACTGAATTCAATTAGATTATACAGTATTTTTGGCATATGCCATTAAATGTAGTGTAGAGAACTCAGAAGTAAGAACTTGGTTAAAGGTACTTGAAATTATATACATACATTTTTGTATTCTTAATTTTTTCCTCTTTACCAAAACATTTCTACCAGCCTCTTTTTTCCTTTAATTGTACTTAATTCTACCATAGAAACAGCAATAATCTTAAATATGCTAACAAAATGAATGTATAATATACCAGTCAACATTACAATATGGGAATGACTGCTGTTCCTTAGATATATCTGTCAGCAGTGATATAAGATATACATATAGAAGGGCTTAGAGCACTGGTTTTCAACCTCGGACACACTTTGGAATCACCTGGAGAGGTTTAACCACAGAGACCTCCATTTAATATGAATGGTATATGGCTTGGGAACTAGATGTTTAAATTTAGCCAGACGATTCTCACAGCAATTAGGAAGAACCGCCACTGGTCAGGGGCTATGCTCCACTCAGCACCTTTTCCCATCCACTTTCTCTCACTGCTTTGCTTTAGGAACACGCTGCCTGCTTGGAGATTTAAGGCCTTTCACCTAAGCATTCCTTTGCTGTCACCAGTGGCACCTTTGGTACATGTATACAAGTACAAGTAACAGGATGTTATTTTGAAAACTATTTTCTAAAAAAGCTTTCTATAATTTCAGTAGGCAGTAATAGTATTCATATATGTAAGAAATAAGGTAACAAGTAAAATATCAGCCTGGAAGAAGAGAAGGGAGGGAATGGGAAAGAAAAGCTACAGCCCTATTAACAATAAAGGAGAGGTACAGTTTCAGTTATAAATACCTGATTGATAGTATCCAGATCATCAATGAAGCTATTTACTTCTGATAGAAGCAGAGATATTATAGATTTTCTCAACAAGCTGCAACTTCCCAGGGTTACCAGACTCTTAGATACACAATGCTGTACCTGAAACTGAAGATAAAAATGAGTAGGGTTCTACTTTTTATCAACTCAGGTCAAAAATAGATTTAGTGGACATTTTCTAACACTTCACCAGTGAGCTCCACGCTGTGGGGAGTACAAAAAGTGTCAATAAATTCTAGGTGAGTCTTAAGCACAATTATGAAATAGATAAATAATAATATAAGTAATGAAATTTTATATAGCAGTTCATATTTTTAATTGTATGACAAGGTGCAAAATGGATATTTTAGCTGAAGTATCAAATGATGATGTAACCATTTAGATGATAGACTACATACAAGATGAAAAAAGAGATGACAAACAGACTCTTAAGCCCGTAGCCACTAGATGGATAGATTAATATTATAGACAGATATAGAAAAGGCTTGAAAGAGAGAAGTTTGGAGATGTCATTGGGGAGAGCTACTGGTGTAGTATGAGTCCCACTTCTATGTGGAGGTACTTCTCTAGTCTTCACAAGTCAAAGGCTAAGCACTTTAGAGTGAGGAGAATAAAATGAGGGACTCTAAATTTTCATCCAGAGGCCACAAAAGTACTTAGCACTAATAAAATTAAAAGGACAGTTAAAAACAATAAACTATTTCACATACAGTTATTAGAAGAAAGGCCAGTTGATTATTAATCACATTAAATAAGAGGTATATAACTCACAGCTGGAAATGCATTAAATATATCCTTTAAAATATCTGGGAGGAAGGATGCTTCAAGGAGAATCTCAAAACCCAGAAATAGCATCTACCTTATGATTGTTCTATATAAGCTTAAAAGCATACTAAGGAGACATGGCTTTTATATATAAAACTAGAGGCCCAGTGCATGAAATTCGTGCATGGGAGGGGTTCCTCAGCCCAGCCTGCACCATCTCCAATCCAGGACCCCTCTCACAATCCGGGACTGCTGGCTCCTAACAGCTCACCTGCTTACCTGCCTGATCACCCCTAACCACTCTGCCTGCCTGCCTGATACCCCTAACTGCTTACATGAGAGAGAAACATCGATCAGCTGCCTCCTGCACACCCCCAACTGGGGATGTGCCTGCAACCAAGGTACATGCCCTTGACCAGAATCGATCCTGGAACCCTTCAGTCTGCAGGCTGATGATCTATCCACTGAGCCAAACCAGTTAGCCTCCCCCCTCCCCACGTTTGTTTGTTTTTTTTTTTTAGATTATCCACGATTGTAGATAGGGCATTAGTTCATTTTTCCATTGATTTTTAGAGAGAGTGGAAGGGAGAGGGATAGAGAGAGAGAAACATCAATGTAAGAAACATTGCAGTTGCCTTCCTTAGGAGCCCCGACCAAGGATCCAACTTGAAACCCAGGTATGTGCCCTGACCTAGAATCGAACCTGCAACCTTTCCATGCACAGGACCATGCTCATGCTCAACCAACCTTTCTACTTCAGCCTGGCCATTATATGACTTCTGGAATTTTATTTCAATTCTTGCAAAGTCTGTGGGTTAGGTAATATTCATATTTTGCTGATGAGGAAAAAACAAACAAAAAAGAACCTCTTCATTTTGAGACATTATTCTTCACTCATTGCCGCGTTTTCCTGCCAGCCCTAGAAAGGCTCCTGACAGCAATCTCACTGGGTATCCAGAGTCAGAAGCATTCTCCTCACCACCCTTTCCAAAGCCTCCTCTGCACCGGCACTGAGGCTGCTCTGGAGGGCGCTGAGGCTAGGTAATGCAGACAAGGACAGGATTTGGACCACTGGAGCCACCGTACCCACCTCTCCTCTCTCAGCCTTTCTCTGCTGTGCTGGAAATAGGCCAAAATCTGTGGTGCTAGCACTTCGGACACAGGAAGTGCTGCAGTTTTTCCCTGCCAGAGCTGCTGTCGCCGCCTGGAGGTTATAGGGCTGCCCTGGAAGTCCTCAGCATGCCTCCCGTCGGGGCACACACAGTGGTGGACTCCACAATGGAACTGCTATTTTTAGATACTTTTAAACACCCCAGCGCTGAGGTAAGACTCTACTTCTTGATTCTGACTCTGCTTCTATCTAGAGACTGTGGGACATGTACAAACAATCCTTAGGCATACCTCGACTTTCACGATCAGGATCAGCGGCTGCAGGCAAAGCGGCTCCTGGGTCCCAGGGCTGCCACCTTGCCTGCGGCCTAGCTTTCCGATCCTCATGAGCAGGATCATGGGCCTTGGACAAGGTGGCTCCTGGGTCCCCAGGGTGCCGCCTTACCTGCAGCCCGGCTTTCCAATCGCGATCACTGGCTGAGGGGCAGGCAAAGGTGGCCCCCCGTTCTCCAATCCAGGGCCAGGGGGCAGGGCAAAGGCGACCCCTAGGCTCTTGCCTGCTGCCTGGGTTTCTGATAACCTTTCTTCTGTCCTTCCCCTTTTGCCTCCCATCATTGCACCTACATATGCAAATTAACCACCATCTTTGTTGGCAGTTAATTTGCATATTGCCTGGATTAGCCAATGGGAAGCGTAGCAAAGGTACAGTCAATGACCCCATTTGTCTTTTATTAGATAGGATGTTTAAATGATTTATTTATTTAATATTAAATGCCATATGAAAATGTCACTCATATTCTTTAGGGTGAACACTTAATGTAGATATTTCTCAAAACGACATTTTTTTAACCCTCATCCTAGGATATGTTTTAATTGACTTTAGAGAGAGAGGAAGAGAAACATGGATGTGAGACAGAAACACTGATGAATTGCCTCCCACGTGCACTGCATGGGGGATCAAAACTGCAACCTAGGTATGTACCCTGACCAGGAACTGAATTGCCACCTTTTGATGTATGGGACAATGCTGCAACTAACTGAGCCACTTAGCCAGGGCTCCAATTGACATTTTAAAGATATATTTTAATTTTAAAAGTCAGTCAATATAATAAAATTAATGGATTATAGAGTTCAAAAGCAATTTTATTATTATTCTGGGCATACATAACTAGCTATTAATAGTTTTCTAAATCAACTTAATCATAAAATCACATCAATATATTACCACAGAGGTCTAGTTATCTTGTTATTTCTTAGATACATAATTGGTTCAGACACCCTTTATAATATTCCAGTACTACTTATTATTTTCAGATTATTTTCTTTGTACCTGAAAAGAAAGAGTATGCTTATCTAAGCTCTAAAAACCTTCTTTTGGGTATTTTGCTACTGCTTTATATGTTTACTTATCTCCTTTCTCAGTATTTAATTCTTTGTGGCAGGGGTGGGGAAGCTCCAGCACCTGGACCCAAAAGGCCCCAAAATCATTTGGGCTGGCCCTGCCAAGGCATTAGGGGTGAGTTGATGAAATGTTTAATCAAATATAGCAGGTTAATTTTTAAGTTGACAATTTTGTATGGCCCTCGAATAATGTTATAAATATCCAAATGGCCCTTGGCAGAAAAAAGGTTCCCCACCCCTGCTTAAAGTGAAGAAAGAGTTCACAGTAAAGTAAGAGGGACTTTAGTAAGAGGTTTGCAGACTCGGAAGCCCAACACTGTCTGAGTCAATCCCAGCTCCACTACTTATTCACTTGTACTAACAACGTAGTTAAACTGTTATGTCTCAGTTTCCATAAATG